CCTCCCCCACTTCACATGTGGATTGATGGAGACAGGAAACGGGCTGGGGAGAGAGGGAACAGCTGTGCGTGAGACTCTTCCCACCACCCCACCCCCCCACCCACCCACACACACACACACACAGACACGCACACAATCTCACACAAACACACACACACAGACACATACACACACACACACACTCTCTCACACACACACACACACACACACACACAATCTCTCACACACACATACACACAATCTCACACACACACTCTCACACACTCATACACACACAATCTCACACACACACACACAGACACATACACACACACACACTCCCTCACACACACACTCTCACACACACACACGCACACACACACACTCTCTCACATGCACACAATCTCACACAAACACACACACGCACACACACACAACACAATCTCACACACACATTCTCACACACTCATACACACAATCTCACACACACACGCACAGACATACACACACGCACACAATTTCTCACACACACATACACAATCTCACACACACTCTATCTCTCACTCACACTCACACACACAATCTCTCACACACACACACACACAAAATCTCACATTCTCTCTCTCTCACATACACACACAATCTCAGACACAAACTCACACACACACAATCTCAGACACACGCACACACACTCACACACATACACACACATACATACACACACACACATACACACACACACACTCTTACACACACACACACTCCATTACTTTTGGAAAAGATGCATGAACTTAGCCAGATGTGCCAAGAAAATGTGACAGTGAGACTTATGAAATAATGGGGCATGGGGGAGCCTAAGACATTAATATGAACAAGGAGATTTATGTAGCTCAATAATGTTCTTTCTTTCATCCTGTGCAAAGAGTTAAGGGGAAGGAACAGATACCTGTACAGATAGTGAAGTACGTGTGTGTGAAGAGGGAGAACTTGAGACACCCAAAACTATGTATATACGGTTTGAATAAAGGGAAATTAGAAAGAACCATTTGTACTATATCAGGTTTATAGGAGGCAAATGGATTAATAGCTGCTGTACTTATATCCCAGCCAAATGCATCAATCACACCAGTTATTTGTCACTTAAAAACTGTTTCCAGTTTGAAGACTGCAGTGGTAAACTACTGACCCCAGTGCTTGCTAGGGTTTCCAAGCCTGCAGATTCTAGTTATTAGTGCTCACTTAAATAACTTAAGGAGAGAATGTTAACACTTTATTATATATAGGGAGATGCATATAGATATATGTGTATTTCATAATTTAAGAACGTCAGTCATTTGTTTTTGCGTGTGGCATAGAGTTATTTTTTGGATGTAGCTCAGAATGAGGAGAAGTGGAACAGGAGACTGAAAGGGTTGTGTGAGCCAAAGGGATTGAACCTTAAGACCAGATTGCAATCATCTTCCCCTTGGAACTTAGTCTATTACTACTTTCTTAAAAATTATTTTTTGGTTAACACCTTTAAATTAGGCTGTGTGAATATTAAAACACTAATAGTTTTAAAAATTAATTCAGGGGAAATGGGTTTCATTGACTTTGTGAAATGTTGTCCCAACTGTGATTCCAACAGTGTGGGTTCAATTCCCACAACGGCTGAAGTTACCATGAAGGACTCTCCTTCTCAGCCTCTCCCCTCACCTGAGACATGGTGACCCTTGGGTTAAACCACCACTAGTCGTTTAGAGTCATAGAGACGTACAGCATGGAAACAGACCCTTTGGTCTGGCTTGTCCATGCCGAACAGATATCCTAAATTAATCTAGTCCCATTTGCCAGCATTTGGCCCATATCCCTCTAAACCCTTCGTATTGATATACCCATTCTCTCTGATGAGAGAGCAGCCCTATGGTCCGGTAGAACGATGGTGAATTTAGTTCATTCAAGGAGTCCCAAATATAGAGGACTGCTACAGTGCCATAACAGTAGAGTCAGTTCAGCAATAACACAGTGTAGAGCTGGAGGAACGCAGCAGGCCAGCCAGCATCAGAGGAGCAGGAAGGTTGGTGTTTTGGGTTGGGACCCTTATTCAGAAATGGGTCCTGACCCGAAACGTCAACTTTCTGCTCCTCTGATGCTGCCTGGCCTGCTGTGTTCCTCC